AATACTGACAGTGGATACTGGAGCGACACGTTCCATTATTCGACTGGATTTGGCCACTTTTTATGTGAAGCCACTACCTGGAGCAAAGCTGCAGACTGCAACTGGTGAACGCACCCAAGTGTTAGGAGAAGTACCATGCGAGGTAATAATCGACGATGTGGCCTCGTATACTAAGTTTATAGTGGCAGACATTGTGGATGAAGTCATCATTGGCGTGGATTTCTTACTTGGCCAAGGCATGATGATTGACCTCCAGAGAATGATCCTTACAGATCGTCACAGGAAAGTGCCACTTAGGGTTGGTTACGACAGCCAGTGCTGCAGCAGACGGTTAGTCATAGAGGAAGTGTCGAAGATTCCACCAGAAACGGAAGCGGTTAGTTGGGCGGAGGTTGGCAGTGTTGGAGACGGAATGGTTTCGTCAGGAGAAGGAAGTGGTTCACCGATACAGGAAAAGCGTGACGGTTCCACCAGCTCAGTGAAGAAGAGGTCACAACAAGGAAGTGGTCATGGCGAGCCAGGCAGGAGGAAAGCCACTGAACCACGTTACAATGGTGACACGCCGGTGGCCGGAAATGGAAGCGGCTGTGGAAGCAGTAGGCGCGCTTTGAAGTGTCCCGAAAAAGGTGGTCGGCAAAGGCGAGCAGTTAAGCCGGAAGCCAAGGGTGAGATTATACATGTCCAGTCAATGAAGTTAGCATCGGCGGAAGAGCGAGATATGAAACGACGGCGGAAGCTTCAGCGTAAGGATCCGGATGTAGAAAGATGTGCTAACGGCAGTGCAGCACGAAGGCGGGAGTCTGGGTATCATGGACAGATGATGCGGCATAGATCTGGCGAAAAGGGTGCCCACGAGAAGAGACATGGTCTGGTCACCACCAGTGGCCGGCAGAAGCACGACCATGTGAGATGGCGAACTCCCGGAGATAAGCCGGAGGTAATGTCCAGTAACGCATGGTGGTTGTACATGTCGCAGCAGAAGCAAAGCTTCAACTCCAAGCAAAGACGTGACTGGACAGATTCGAAGATTAACAAACGGCAGAAGGACGCAGTGCATCAAAACCAGACAATGGGGAGACCGAGGACCAAGATGAAAGTGGTCCAATTTGAAAGACTTGCAGCGGTTTGAGCGGCAAGTATGTCTGATCGGGACGATCAGACTTAGGTGGACTGCTGTGTGGCGAATACTGCGGCAACACAAAGCGAACAACGAGAAATAGGCAGAATGTTCGAGGAATGACGTAGAATGTTCCACAAACAGAAACGTCAAGTTGGATGAACACTGCGAACAGCGAGAGAAAGAGAATGAGCGATAAACTTCAGAACGTTCTAGAATTGCCATAAGTACGAGCGCAGGTATATAAGGGCGCCGCCACAGCGGAGTGAGTTAGTTACAAGTCAGCAAGCTACAAGTAAAGTGAGCAGAGAAGTGAGTTGCGAATAAGCAAGCTATAAGTTTAAGGGCCGGTTACTCAATGTCTGGTTAACACTAATCTTCGGTGAAACATAGTTATCGACGTTACCGACTCCCTGTTGTATGCATGGAGTCGAAGACGTCGATAACGATGTTTAACCGCAGATTAGTGTTAACCAGACATTGAGTAACCGGCCCTAATTGTGTTAACAAGTTTAGAAAAGCGTTGTTATTGCTTTAACAAGTATTGTAAAGTGTTTTTACTGTATTAGCAAGTATTGTAAACTGTTTGTTGTACAATAAAGTTAATTGTACTACAATTTGGTCATCGTTAGCATTTATTTAACAATCCAGCGATACGAACCGGGAGATTTGGGAAATCCGGACGAGGTTTCAAGGATAATCGTAACACTACTCAAGCCTGATACCTTGGTTATAATGCACGGGGCGAATCGTAACAAATCGCGACTAATTCGTAAGGATCTATTGATTTTAGATGCTTCCGTTTTACATTGCGTTCAAGTGCATTATAATCGTTTGAATTCATTACCCATACAGTAGATACTTAAGTGACAGTCCACTCTGTTCCGTTACTTCCATTATAATCCAGGCATGAAAGATTATTTAGTGCAATTGTATAGAAGCTGCTCCACATTTTGAAAAATAGTCAAATTTCGATAAGCCTGTAAAGCCTGAAAAAGATGCCAACTTTCGAACTTCAGTCGTCTGACAGTTAACCGTTAGCAATGCTGTAATCGATATCAGAGGGTCAATAATATTTTTAATGAATGTAAAAGTATGTTCACACATAAATATTATCTCAATCAAAGCTTGTTTTTTAATCAACCCGTTTACACCGGCAAATCTCAGATTATTAGCCGTCAAATTTGTTGTGCTTGTTACCCTCACATCTCAAGGAAAAGTTATGTTTCTTCTCTGTGCCACCGTGATAACGTTTTTATGCTATAATAAGCAATATAAATATATTTTAACTTAACATTTTATTTAACAATTTTTATGAGCTTGAGGCCGTTTTCAGTGAAAACTTATTGTGGAAAAGCAACAATAATTTGAAAAAATGGTAGAAGTGATAGCTATTTCGGAAATCACCACATTTCCTCATCATTTAATCTGAGATTAACAAGGGACGAATTTTATATGGCTAATCTCTTGTTATAATTACAGATTAGGGTGTTAAGCTCGAAAATGAGGATAATCTACTTAGGGCCGGTTACTCAATGTCTGGTTAACACTAATCTCCGGTAAAACAGCGTTGTCGACGTTACCCACTCCATGTTATATGCATGGAGCCGAACACGTCGATAATGATGTTTAAACGGGGATAAGTGTTAACCAGACATTGAGTAACCGGCCCTTATATGTGAACCTAGTATAATTACAGATTAGGGTGGTAAGCTCGAAAATGAGGATAATCTACTTATATGTGAACCTAGTATAACACAAAATTCAGGCAATACAACACAAGGAAAAATTATTAATTATATGAAAATGAATATGAAAGAGGTGAACAAAAGTACTGAATAAACTAAAATGAAATGGTAAAAGAAGTATCTCTTTTATCGATCTTGTATTTTTTAGTCGATATCTCATTTGTTGGAAAACTCATTCCTTCACCATTCTCCAATTTACTGCGAAATGTCAAAGGTTCGTAAAAACGTCAAGCGCAAAAAGTTTGTTGTGGAGTTGCTTACCTGTAAACCTGTAAAGCCTGCACGAATTCGAAAGGCTGTACGATTTCGAAAGCCGCAACGCCTGAGAAGCCTCCTATGGAGCTTCAGCTTAACAGTTGCTTATGGGCTGTTTTTGCGGAAAAATTTTCCAATAATTGACCAGACTTTGAAAAAAAGGCTGATGAGAGGGTGTAGAGGGGTCCACTTGATTTTAAATCTGAAGGTCACCCCCTCCGGAGGCTTATAGTTTTTAAGTAATTAATAATTAAAGTTACAAAAAAAGTCAAATTCAACCTCAGTTTTTCCTTTGTAGAGCGATTTTACTGAAACTTCGGTCCCAAAATATTTCGAAAAACAAACTGAAAACAGAAACAAAGAAAACGCACAATTTTTATTGCATATTTTCACTATATATCGAAGTATTGATTATAAAAAAACGGAGCAAGCGAAAATTAACAGTATATCGAAGTGGGTATTGATTTTTTTGAAAGAAAAGCGCCTCTGGCTAAGATTTTTAATAAAAAACCGCGCGACTTTTGATTACAAATTTTCGTTATATATCGAGGTATTGAATTAAAAAAAAGTGCCGCAGGCGAAAATATTTAATAAAAAATCACGCGATTTTTGATTACATACTTTTAATATATATTGAAACATTGATTTAAAAAAAAAGCGCTGCGGGAAAAATTTGTACTAAAAAATCGCGCGATTTCTTATTAAAAATGTTCACTATTTATTGAAATATTGTATAAACAAAGTATTTTTGGGTAAAGTTTTCAACGATCTGGCATTACATACTTCGCGGCCATCGCTCAACATTTGTGTGTTTTCGAATAGAAACTTATTTGGGGTGTTCACAGTTCGTTCCAAATAGTTGGGGTGTTCACAGTTCGTTCCAAATAGTGTCTCAAAATGTAGACGTCTACATTTTGAGACATCTTTAGCATCAAACTGTGAGCACCCCTTTCTAGCAGTCGTCGCAAAATCGTCTCAAAACTTTGCTGGTGTTGCCAGACATTTCTTCTTTGCGTGCTTTTTTATATGTCGCCTTTCGATTTTGTTTCTGAAAAACACCCCAATTGTTACGATTATCCTTGAAACCTCGTCCGGATTTCCCAAATCTCTCGGTTCGTATCGCTGGATTGTTAAATAAATGCAATCGATGACCAAATTGAAGTACAATTAACTTTATTGTACAACAAACAATTTACAATACTCGCTAATACAGTAAAAACACTTTACAATACTTGTTAAAGCAATAATAGCGCTTAACTAAACTTGGTAACACAATTAAACTTATATCTTGCTTATTCGCAACTCACTTCTCTGCTCACTTTACTTGTAGCTTGCTGTCTTGTAACTCGTAACTAACACAACTCGCTGTGGCGGCGCCCTTATATACCTGCGCTGGCACTTCTGGCATTTCTAGAACATTCTGAAGTTTATCGCTCATTCTCTTTCTCTCGCTGTTCGCAGTGTTCATCCAACTTGACGTTTCTCTTTGTGGAACATTCTACGTCATTCCTCGAACATTCTGCCTATTTCTCGTTGTTCGCTTTGTGTTGCCGCAGTATTCGCCACATTATTTAAAGAACACGTTTATAAGCATTAATTGTTAAATATTTAGTAGAAAAAAGATGTACATTCATTTGTTTATGAACAAAAGCTGATATATTAATGAAAAGAAAAGTGATTAATGCAGTGTTTATATAAAAAATATGTGAAGTAATGGGTAAATTTTAACAACAAATAACTTAAAACTGTTAGCATTTCTACAGAAAATGATGAAGATATCGGAAAATAAGAACTTTCTCAACACTATCAGCCCCTTAAACTGCTGCCGCAATCTCTTTTGTAAAATTTTTAAGTTTGACAGACTTCGTAAAAGGGCTTGCACTTGCAACGTCTAACGGCCACTTTATGTATCTATACAAACAGCTGTTCGGTTGATGTTAAATCGCAAATAATCGGTTGCGTTAATAATAAATATGTGCTGATTTCGTGTATTTCACTTCATAACTATACGCAAGATGTGTGAGGGAACGCAATAACCGTGGAATAATATTTACAAGAACTTCTCTACGACTTTGAAAAAGTAAAACATGGAAGTGCTTATCTGTAAGCGATAAAATTTTAAAAGTTTGTTCGAAGTGCCTCACTCCGCTGCGGAAACATTTTTTCCTAGGGTAGCTTCTAATCCTATCACCAACAAATGTCGCAGGAATTCGGCGGCGTGCCAATTACGATTCCACGATCACGAAGCGTTTTCGCTATATTGATAGCGGGATTTTTGGCCTTTTTAATATTCTATTACTATTATGGTAGCATTTTGACGCTTTCCGTGCTTATCACTATCATATTTGGTAAGATTTTGTGAATTTCTTCCATTGACTATTTTAAAATTTAATGCTAATACTTTCAGTCGCGTTCTACTATTTACAAGATATGGTATTATATCATCCCGATCTTCCCGCGAATTCTCGTATCTATGTTCCCATTCCTAAATTGCATAATCTACCACATGAAACAGTCAATATACATACACCAGATAAAGTCACATTGCATGCATTCTGGGTATACCAACCGGTGGACCGTTCAAAGGGGGGTACCCACTTTTGTGTACTTTCATGGAAATGCAGGAAACATGGGTCATCGCATGCAAAATGTTTGGGGAATATATAATCATCTACACTGTAACATTTTGATGGTAGACTATCGGGGCTATGGCTTTTCAACGGGTGTGCCCTCAGAACGAGGCTTAGGAACCGATGCTCGTGCTGTGGTTGACTACTTGTACACACGAAATGATCTAGACCATGCACAAATAGTTTTGTTCGGGCGCTCATTGGGCGGTGCAGTAGTTATAGATGTTGCTGCCGATACAGTGTACAGCCAAAAAAATTATGTGTGTTATTGTTGAGAATACATTTACTAGCATTCCGGATATGGCGGTTGAGTTGGTGCACCCATCGGCAAATCTTATACCAAGATTTTGCTTCAAAAATAAAGTAAGAAATTGTCCCAATTTATAGAGCATGTCAGACGTTTCAATATTTCCATCTTTTCTACGCAATTCGTTGTCAAATTTAGAAAGAAGTTTTATATCGATGTATGACCAGACAGAAAGACCTTTCTGTCTCATTTCTTTTATTTCTGCTGCAAGTGCTGTCCAACTGTAATCGAGTGTTGCCATGTGACACTGATCGCGAGTTTGTGATAAATAATAACGCATAATTTAGAATAAAATTTCGGAAATGAATTTAACTAATAATTTTTTGGAATTTAATTGTTTAGCTATGAATATAATATTATATTTATATTGTCACCTTAATTCACAAAGGCCCTAACAAACACATTTTTCGAAACTGCGTTTTTCACAGACCCCACGTTTAGTTTTCCGGTAAAATCAATTTTATTCAATTACTTTAATCCAATTTTGGGTTGATTTTAAAAGTTTAATTAAATCAAGTTAGGGAACTTCCTATTACTGTTAAACGAAATCTGTATTTCTATAAATAATTATTTGCTTTTCAGTTCCTATTGTAATAAAAGCGTGCTTTTAGTTTTTTTTTAACTATAATTTTATTACGTGACAAGTTGCTAGTTCACGATTGTTACGATTCGAGCCCAGGTCTGACACGCTCTTGTCAAATTAAAAAAAAAAATCTTTTTATAATTGAGTTTTTTATAGTACTTCTCCTCATGGAAGATTGGTAAATGTTCTGTACCGTTTTTATTCGTATCGGGTTTGGCCGATAACCTAGTGCCGCCACGTATGATGCGTACTTTGTACATGAAGTGTGGAAGTGAAAGGAAACGCATACTAGAATTTATAGGAGGGGCTCACAATGATACCTGGATCATGGACGGGTATGTGTTAATTCATATAACTTAAATAATGGGCAATATGCATAAAAAATAAGCAATTGCTTTTCTTAAAATTTCATACCTTTCACTTAAATTTATTTGAACAAATCAAGTGAAAGGGCGAAATTTTAAGAAAATGCTTTTCCTTAGTTTTTATGCATACGGCCCAATATTTCAATGTTATAACATGCCAACCTAATATTCACGCACACCGCCAATTTACTGTCAAAAATTCCTCATGTACATAAAACTTGTATGGGACCAACCGAAATTGAACGGCGTGTTTACGAAACTAAAGCTATAATTAGTCAAGGACGCAGAACGTATACTTGAACGCAGTCTGTATACGCAGAATTTTGTCGATTACCGGAGCTCTCAGTGGTGCTTACTACAGTGTTGCCACTCATCAATGTTTTTTTTTCATAAACCTACCTTTTCAACTATCGTGCTATAACAGATTGTAGCTAAATATAAACTACTTAGTTTACAACAAAAAACCTGATTCAATAGTAAATTTCAAATATTTTAAACATATTTTGAATATGAACTTATAACTTTTTTACGATCTGCAAAACTGACGGAAGTGGCAACTATCTAAAGAACGAAGAAATCAGCTGACACGGAAAAATCTAGTTTTCGCAGATTTCTGCGCTACGGGCTATAACCACAGAAAAATTCTGCGGTGTTGAATTTTCATTTACATGGAGCTTTGGTAAGACAGATCGTGTCAGCTGACTCGGGTTTACGTACCGGTAGGTTTACGTTCTTGAATAATTTCAGCTTAAATCAATTTTCAATTTTTGTTCTGCGTGACATTTTGATTTCGGGCGACGCAGAAAAGCAAATTCGACGGCGCGCGTACCAAAACGCAAGCCGCGAATATTAGGTTGGCCTGTAGTAAAAGAGCTGGGAACACCTAAAGAATAAAAGCCGTTGAGCCGAAAAAAAGTGGGCGTGGTCCCCTGTTCCTGATTTTAATGGCATACTTTTTTTATGCAATTTAATAGGGGGGCGTGGAATTTTCAACATTTTTAAAAGCTTATATTTTGAAAATTATTAAACCGATTTTTAGGATATGGACACAGTTGGAAAGGTAATTAAAAGACCTTTCATTCATTCGATTCATATATCTACATCTGTAACAGCTCGAATCTGTGCATTTGATGAATAAATTTTTTTTTATAATTTGTAAATTTTTTATTATTTATCAAGAATTGGAATTCTAGCATAGAAATCAAAATCTTGGTAAACTATCAAGATTGAAAATGATATTGACAAGCATTTACAAATTTAAATTTCATATGTAAATTTTGTTTATTAAAATTTTTTTTCTATCATTTAAATACTGCGTGTGCCGGCATTTGAACCTGCGACACAGCATTTATTGCCGACATCTCTACCTACTCGGCTACGGCAGTCAAAAGCTTTTTTGCTTTTAAATTCATATTTTTCATATGTGACAATGGGTAGGTTCAGAAGGCGCAGCAGTTGAGCCCAAGGCACATTAAACAGGTAGTATCAGTAGAGCAAAAACAACATTTGCATGTATTTTGTTGTTGCTTCTGGTATCGAAAGTGTCAAAAACTGTTCCGAGTTTTTTCTTCTAAATCAAAGTGTGCCATGTGAATTACAAAAAATTAAAAATTGAAATTGGAAAAAATAAAAATTGATGCAACTTTCTTTCCTAGTTAATTTGTTTGCTTCTCGAAGCATTGATCCATCCTTTGCAAGGCCCAGTAATCAGCGGTTGTGCTGCTGAGTTAGGCGAACGTTCCAAAAGCTGCTATTCAATCGCTTGTTTTGTATGGAAAAAGGTTTCCCATGCAAATGGATTTTAACAATTCAGAATTTTTGTGAGAAAAAATTAAAAATATTTGACATTTTCGTGACCAAATAATTTGAAAATAAATCAAATCAGCTGCTCTACTGATACTACCTGTTCAATGTACCTTGGTTGAGCCCAACCGTTGCTAACAAAATCAGTGATCGTTATGAGTCTTCTGAACGGCTTGATACATTAGCTGTCAAACTCAACTCTCAAAGGTACATACCAACATGTTGTCTCAAATGATCAGAAAAATATTACGATCATCTAACATGCAACTATTCAGCTGATCAGAAGTACACAACACAGTGATCGGACGTTAAAAAATTCTGTGTGGTAGAATTTGGAAAAAAATGTGTTAGATTTCAAAAAAATGTGGTAGATCTCGGTTTGGATCAAGCTTTGTACAAAAATTAAAAAAATTCTGCAAGGTTTCACCTAAATTGCAAACTTTTTAATTTTAGCATAATAAAGTGCAAGATGGAAGTTGCTAAAAATTGCGTTGAGTTTTGGCAGTTTCTTCCTTGACAGTGCAAAGCAGTTCCTTCCATATCAAGATGTTATTCGAACATATTTTAAGAGATTTCGGCAATTTTGCGGAGTGCTTCCAGTTTTTCTTTCTATCAAATCACGAAGTAGCGAACAAATGTGGCACGTGGATTTGCCGATTTTGACAATTCTCAAGGAAAAATAAACAACGCCTCATAAACTTTACATGCACTAAAATTTGCTAATACTTTCGCAAAAATCACCGCTTTTTAACATTTTCGCTATTAATTCTTTTTACAAATCATATATTTTGCAATTTAACACAATAAAACCACGTTTTCTGTCGAAAAATTTATTACTTGGAAAATTTACTATTTTACAGTTTATTTTATCCTCCCGTTCGGCTTTGTTTACTTTTACTTGAGAAATTTTATCTTCGCCGGGAATGCTGAATCTTGTGTTATATCATTCTTGTCACCATATAGTTTTTAGTGCTGGACAATTTTTTCTCTTAAAGTTAAGAAAATCATGTCGAGCAAAAATAAAAATAACACTATGCGACACTCAAAAAAGGGATGGGATGAAACCAACGGGAAATGTTATATCGGTCAAAAACAAGTTTTACGTGTCCCGGCGTTTCGCTGGGTCACGTCTAGGAATCGAGATATATATATAACTATCATATAGGCGATGCTTTCCATTTCCAGACAACCGGTCAGGTACGAGCATGATTTTTAATTTCCACCAAACTCAAATACATTGTTTTTGGTCCAAATAATGAGACACGTATTTTTTCTTTTGGCTCGGAAAAATTTTTCGGCCGAATTAAACGCGATTTTGTTTTTCAGGCAAAAATCGATTATTCGAATTGACAGTGAGAATGTTTTTTTAAAATGCCCATAACTTTGTCAAAATTTAATAGATTCCAACAATGTTTTTACTCAAATCTCAGTAATTCTTGTCACTTCAAGATAGAATGATATAATTATTGATTTTCATTATTTAAAAAAAAAGCTTTCCGAAGTTTTATAATGAGCCAAATACACCACACAAGCGGCTTGCCAAACATTCTTCAAACCTACTTTTCCCATTTCGCCATACACCATGCAAATATGACTCGTTCAAGCAAAAAATTTTAGTTTTCTTCCGGTTCACAATGTAAAAGGGTTTGGTTTTCTTTGATTTTTCTCTCTTGCGTCCTCATTCGGTAAAAATTCCGTTGTGAATGAGGCGATTTTATCACACATAACCAGCCCAATTCTTAATATTCCCGGGGAGTTTGTTCTCCGGGAATTTGTTTCTCCCGAGAAAGAAATCCTCCAATAATTAACTCCCAGGGAGTAGCATTTTCCCCGAAAATTTGGGAGGAGGAAATTCGAGGTTCGAAAAAGCTGTTTGACACTTTTTTGACAGCTAAACTCCGCCATTTAATATAAAAAATACTCAAGGAATTTTTATTCATGATAGGAGGAAAGGGAAAAGTGAGAAAACTCCCAGGGGGTTTCTGTTCAGAATCGGCCTGAACGCAAGCGGTTTGATCAAACGTCAACATGACGGCCAGAAAATCAAAAAATTTTGATTTTTGTTCAAATTTCCTTCAAATGGCTTGTCAAACTTTCAAAAACCCCCATACACAACAGAAATAGCTTTATTCAAAGGAATATTTCGCTTGGTTTGTCAAGCCGCGTGTGTGGTGTTTTTCGCTCTTAAGCACATCTGCATATGCTGCTATATATTCAAAATATTATCGATCATTTTTTTCCTTTCATCGTTATGTTTTCAACTTATTTTGAACTTGCAAAATCCCGATAACGAATGGAGAGAACACGCATTGTTCGATCATAAGGATATTCATATTGATTCTTCATTATATGCAGAAAATTATAGGAAACAAGTCTTTGAATTAAAAGATTCTTCAGGTTCATATAAGTTTCCCAATTAAAAAAAAATTATATCTGCATTACTAATATAGCCCTTTTCTAATGCTTCAGTAGAATGTATATTTAGTAGTTTAAAAATGTGTAGGACTGGCTTGAGGACCAGATTAAGCACTCCCAATAAACATTTAGGTTTGAGCTCAACTTGAGGTTAATTTGAGAACTAAGGTATTTCTCAAATCTCCAACGTTGTTTCTCAACAGTACCTCAAGTGGAGGATCATAGCGTTCTCAACAAAAAGGGCATTTTTCTTTGTATGAAAAAAGGACTGTTTCTCAAGTTGAGAAAATGCTAGTTCTCAACTTGAAGTCGAATGTAATTCTCCAATTGGTCTCAAACATATCATTGAAATACTGAAATTGAAATAGTAAAATACCTTATACCTATTTGATTGAAACGACATACATAGATGAATTTAAATATTAATTTTTAATTTTATTACTCCTTTTCTATTATGTAGTTAAGCAATATCGTATTACAATAATTCACTTCACAGTACACAGGCCGACATTAATTTTGCCACTTGATTCACTTGGCGTTTTATTTTCTTTCAAGATTATTTGAGGATGTTTTGAAGATTATTTACTTTTTGTTGGTAATTTTCCTCGTTATATAGCTTTAGTTTTTCACTTGATAATTAAATATTCGTTTCTCTATCACTTTTTACGTATCTCCGCGTCGGTTAGAGATGAGTTGGAGAATGATGTTGGATATCAACTTGAGAACTATGAATTTCTCAAAGGTTGGAGAAA